CTTGGCCCCCAGCAGCCGCTCCCCGCGCCTGCCGGCGAGGGCGGGCGAGCGAAGACGAGGCGCAGGGAGGCGGAGAGGAGGTCGTTTTCGTCGGACGAAGCTCGAAGGTCCAGAGGCCGATAAAATTTGGTTCGGCGATCGCCAAAAGCTAGCGGGGTCGCCACCGAAGGGTTGCGCAAGAGACCCGAAGAGGCCCCAGACACCGCTCGGCAATGCTCACTGCAGCGCTGGCCTTGAACACCTCGACGACCGCACGCTCAGGAGAGTCCTTCTCGTATTGAGCCTCAGTCCTCAATCCTGAGTCTAAGGGGCAAAGGCACAGATAAAATGTGAATATGTATGACTGGTGGCGTTACGCCCCCTCCTGCGCCTGGAAATACAGCAAAGTGCATAGACGCCAGTACACATCGTCGCGCCCCCTTCGGGGCCAAGGCGATCAGCAGCGGATCACTCTTATTCAGACGTTCGAAGTTCCAAATGTTCGAACGTTTCCGTTGGTTTCGGGCGGAGTTCCAACCTCGGGGTGCTTGGCAGCAACTGCGGACGGCCCAGGGAAGCCCAGATCGGCCCCGAACGGCCGCCGGAGACCCGAGCGATGACCCGAAACCAAACTCGGCGGCGCGCTGAGGAAGCATAGCGAGGCGCAGTCGTATCGCTACCAAAAGAATCGATGAATGAAGATCGGCTCTCGCCTCAGTGCCGCGAACATTGGTTGCACAGCCTGCGAACAGCCATAAGGATGGAGGCCATAACTTTTTCAAAATGCGGCTCTTGCCTTAGCGCCGCGCGCACTAGTCTTGAACAAATCCAGGAAGTACGCTGGTCGCAGGAGGGGTGTCAAAATGGGGCTCTCGGCGTAGAGCCGCCCACAATGTTCTGAAACTCCACATAGCTTCAACGATGGCAGCAACATTTGTTCTCAAAATGCAGCAATCGCCTCTTTGCCTTCCATGACCCGTGATTTGTGCAAGCGCTACACGGGTAGAGGGCGGCTCCTTTCTTTAAAAGTGGGGCTCTCTCTTGAGACTACCCCTACATGGATGGAGCGCAGACCTTTTTTCAACATTGCGCCGTCGCTGGGTACTTCCTTGAACTCGGTCATCATACCTAGAGGTCTCCTAAATGGGGTCGGAAAATCGCGCCGCATTGGCGACGTCGGCGACGCATGGGCGACGTCGACGTGAAGCAAAACGAGCTCCACATCGAGCTGTTTCGCCGATGCACTGGCGATGCGGCGCGATCATCCGACCCCATCTGCTCCGTCCCCATATATATATATATATATATATATATATCGGCGGTGGACATACCTCCCTTTAGAAACCACTCTTTAGTGAAAACGGCCTAGGACCGAAACCGACGGACCTGGACCCGCAAAAATGACGGCCGCGGCGCCCGCTCGCGAACCGAAAACGGCCAATTCGCTAAACGACGTGTGAGGGTGGGAGGTCGATCAACTTCCGAATATAGGAGGCCTAGGGTACCTCTCCACGCTTCTTCGAGCCAGAAGAACTGCGGATGGATCCTTACCAAAACGGAGCTTTCGCCAGAGAGCCAGGCCTACCAGCCACTCGTCGTTCAAAGAGGGGGTCCGCTCCCGCAGGGGGGAGCAACACTTGTCGGGACTCAGATCATGAAGAGACTCGGGATGCGAGGGTGCATTGCCGCATCGTTGGCGCATCGTGGGTGTACAGTCGGCCCGCAGCACGAGGGCGCGCAAGAAGGATGCAAGGGCCTCGGACGCCCGTTTCGAAGATTTTCGAGCGGGGCGCGGCCCACGAGAGTGGCCAAGGCTGGACCGAGGAGGCAAGGATGCAAGGGCACCCTAGGGAAGGGTGCCCATCCTCTCCATGCGGGTTGGGTGCACTCTGGTCCTCATCCCCTTCCTCCGCCTCACCCTCGTCCTACCCCTTCTCCTCCTCCGGGGGGGAAGGGGCATGTATCGCGAAGGGTCGAGAGAGTGGGGGCGGAGAGAACGAGGAGGCTGAGGGGAGGAAATCCGCTACAGGCAAGAGTGACCGCAAGCAGTGGTGGCCTTTCGTGCGCAATTTTCGACGGCCGTGGGGAGGCAACGCCCAAACGCGCAAGCCGATGCTGGGGGCACCCCTGTGGGCCTGCACCGAGGGTCACGCCGGCGCAGGGTCACCCTTACAAGGAGCCGAGAAGAGAGCGGGTCGGCCCCGCAGAACCTGAAAAATGGCCCCAGCCTCGGCATTCCCAGTGCATTTCTGTGGTTGGACCAAAAGGGGGTCCAGCTGAAATGGGGTGGTGCAATAGGTTTGAGGCAATTGTATTGTAAATCTATTGCGCCAGAAAATTGCATATACTTGTATTGCAACCGATGTGTTGCACGCGAAAGCCCAGCAATACATCTGCGCACCGGAACGTTCTATTGCAACCCCACAAGTCTATTGCACCAAATCTATTGTACCACTCACTTTTCGCTGGACCCCCCAGGCTGCCTCTGGGGCCAGCCAGAACTCCTCGGTCTCGTGCCTGTTTCTTTTGCTCGATGATCCAAGGTGTTCTTCCATGGTTCTCGCCAATAAAAATTCACACGTCCGAGCCATGCCAAGTCAACATTATCCTTGGGAAGACTGCCTGCCCTTGCCGGCAGGGATTTCCCCATCGTTCTTCCGTCCATCTGGGGGAGGGTCTGGCCTCTGGCCCTGGCTCTGGCAACCTATGTTGCGCGTCGGCGGGGGCCTGCGTTTGAAAATTTGGCGCGTTGGGGACCGCCTGGCCTCATCCGCGATCGCGCAGGCCACGTCCACAATTTAGCGCAACGGCTTCCTAGGTTCCACGGTTTCACGGTAGTCGCTGGGCTGCTCGATGTACGAAATGTTATAAGGGCGTCTCGCTTGGAGATCCTTTCCGGGAGGCCCTGCCCACGGAGTTTCCCATTCGGTTGCTGAAGTGTCTGCGCGCTGGGTGTCGCCTTCATCGTAGAGCAATGCGTGTAGTGATCATCGGAGGTTGGGGGGTGAGATCGCAGTGAAACGGAGACCACCCACCGGGAAATCGGTTTCGGTTTCGTGTTCGTATCCTGCGTGCGGGCGAGGCGAAGCTGCGCGTGATCCTGTCCGAAGTAGGAGCGAAAGTCCGTTTCCCGTCCGCCGTTGGCCGGGAGGTGTCCCAGTTGGGCCGGGCGGTGTCCCGGGTGTCCAGGGTGTCAGTAGGAGCGAAAGTCCGTTTCCCGTCCGCCCGTGGCCGGGAGGTGTCCCAGTTGGGCCGGGCGGTGTCCCGGGTGTCCCTGGCGTCCCGGCGCTAACGCATGTCGCAAATTTCATACTTCATATTTTTGTCGGCGCCTGCGGCGGGATTTCTTATTCAATCCAGCTTATCTTATCCAATCCATCTTGTCCAATCCAATCAAATTTTTCTTATCCAACCCATCTTGTCCCATCTTGTCTTATCCCACCCAATCCAATCCACCCAACCCAATCCATCAATTCATTTGTTTCTGCGCCTGCGGCGGGCCAATCCAATCCATCTTATCTCATCCAATCCATCTCTTCCAATCCAACCCGTCTTATCTTATCCAATCCATCTTATCCCAGCCAATCCAATCTACCCAACCCAATCCATCAATTCATTTTTGTCGGCGCCTGCGGCGGGCTCTCTTATCCAATCCAGCTTATCTGATCCAATCCATCTTGTCCAATCCAGGTCAAGGTGAGAGGCTGGAGGTCAGTCAGGGTGGGCATTTGATCTCAATCCCCCCCCCCAGCCTCCTTATCGCCCGCAGGGCGGTCGTATAGATATCAGAGCCTCCAGTTGCTAATGGCACTGTTGCGGCAGGCTGTAGCAAAACATTGGCGTTAACAACAACTCTTGTGGATCTCTGATCAAAAAGCTCCAGCGGCTGTGCCCGCAGGTAAGGCTCCCAAACTCAAATAGAAGCTGCCCTCCTTGAGGCGATCGGTGGCGGAGCAAAAATGTTTGAGCAATTCCCATCCCCAGCTCTCGTCTCTTTTTCAGCCAGACAACCAAGGCGTCTGTGAAACGAAGCCTCCGCGAGCCCAACACAGAAGGGGGCGGCCAACGCCGCAACTATCTTCCAGAAGAACATGCTGCGCGAAACCAGCGACACGCTTTCCAAATTGAGGGCTGTGGAGGAGAAAGGGAGGTGAAGATTGAGCCACTGCGGTTGCGGTGAAAGTCGACTGGGGGGTGAGCGACCGAAACCCGACGAGATGCGTAGGGTTCAAATGCAAGTGCAAACCATCCCCAGCTCCCGCTTCCTTTCCAGCCAAACAACCAAGGTGTTTACGAAGCCGGGCCCCCGAGAATCCAACGCGGAAGGGGGCGGCCACCGCCGCCGCGATCTTCCCAAAGAACCTGCAATGCATGTAGAGTACAAAAAACAGCAATCTGGCCCAGAGCCGAAGAAATAACCTGTTACTGCAGATGTTTACCGACATTGTCTCCGACACACTCGGCCAAACAACTATAGCAGGCCTGGGCGATAGCTCTGCAACGCCGCGTGGGGTAGGGCTCTGTCAACTTAGCATAGAAGCTACCAGAGGGACCCGTGCCTTGAACTCACGAGCCCCTCGCAGGCCTGGGCGCGACGACGCTTAGGGAAGCGGAGCTGGGAGAGACCGCCCCCCGAGGCCCGAAGGCGGGCTCGAGACTGACTACCTACCAGACCACACCAACCCAACCCGAAGACCCGAATTTCGGGTAAGGGTTCCACGTGTGTTTTTTCGATGCTTCCCGACCCCCCCCCACTGGAAATCGAGGGTAAATCTGAGCCTTCGGGTTGGGTTAGGGGTGGTCTGGTGGGTGGTGAGAGACTTCCCCGACGGGACAGCACTCGGGAGGGTAAGGGTTCCACATGTGTTTTTTTCGATGTTTCCCGACCCCCCCCCCCCACTGGAAATCGATGGTAAATCTGAGCCCTCGGGTTGGGTTAGGGGTGGTCTGGTGGGTGGTGAGAGACCTCTCCGACGGGGCAGCGCTCGGGAGGGTAAGGGTTCCGCATGTGTTTTTGTCGATGCTTCCCGACCCCCCCCCCACTGGAAA